GAAAGGGGGGAGGGTCAGAGGGAGAAGCAGACTCCCTGCCGAGCAGGGAGCCCGATGCGGGACTCGATCCAGGGACTCCAGGATCATGACCTGAGACGAAGGCAGTCGCTTAACCAACTGAGCCACCCAGGCGCCCTGGTGTTATATTTTTAATAAGCCTATCAAAAACCGTTACCACCTGCTGTAACTTCTTAGTGATTTAGTTGCTACCTGGATTATCCAATCTAGTTTAAAGCACATCAGATTTAAATAAATACAAGAAGATCGAAGAGTCATTATATTACTTCAAATGCCTTCTATCTTCCAAGAGCAGATGAAAGTGGGGGGGGGCGTCTTCTTTTTTCTCCAATCAGGGAATAAATTTTTGTGTAGAGAGATGTAGCATGCTCTTTTGCCAAATTAAGGTAGGAAGACTGGAATATAAATCTGTGCCATTGATAGAAAAATAAGTGAAAAAATACTGTTATTATTTAATAGTTTTGATACTGCATTGATTCTAAGCACCTTTGTGTGAACAGGGTCAAAACACAATTTCATCATTTAGGTGAAAGCCAAAGAAATCTGAGATTAAGAAGACTCAGTCTACAGTGATGTGGAAGCCAGAAAGGGAGGTGCGGCTGTGAATGATGGATAATAGAGTCAATTTCAAGTAGGTAGGGGATTTTTGCTAATTCTTCCTGCTCCTCATTCAAGGATAAAGGAGACAGGATTTCAAACCAAAGTGAAAGAGATAAAGGAAGTTTTCAAAAGCCATAGGACCAGTGTTCTTGTATGAAACGTGCTGCCAGTCACGTTTGAAGGAACATTCCAGAAAGGTTTTGGAAAATTTACATTAGTACTTAGTTCTGAGCCCAGCCAGAGTAGAAACAATATGAGCTCTCCCTCCCCATATTTCAAGTGACATATTTGCCATTCTTTGACTTTTGGGAACATCTCTCCTTGCTCTTAGAACCATTAGACGTTTGCCATTGTTGAATTAAATTTAGCTCACAACATTATTTTGAGCCAAAGCTTTTGTCATTTTTAAATTTTGAGGGCTAGATAAAGTTAAATCTGTGAGAGGAGTTTTCAAAGAGAAATGTAGCCAATTACTACAACAGTCTGACGTCAAACAATCACTTCTAGGAGCTGCATGCATTGATGTTAGACTTGTGTAATTAAGCAGTTTAATGAAAGCAAAGCTCCAGAGTGGATATGAGTCACAAGCAGCCCGTTGTCCTAAGACGGGACACAGGGCCAAAAGTTAAATGTCGTGTGCTTACAAAAAACCGAACGGCACTGAGCTTGTAATGTATATTTTATTTTGCACAAGCTTGCATATGTACTGCACATACATTCAGTTTAAGAGAAGATGGAAGGCACACAAGGCAATTGGACTACTGTATCCTTTAAGTGGTACAAAGCAAAAGGTAAAAGTTTGGAGAGTATACAAAAGCTTAAAACACACAAAGTAAAACCCCCTACCCACCCGCCCCCCCAACAACTTTTTTCTCTTTTAAAATTTAGTAGCTGCCAAACTAAATTTTTGTACTTTTACTTGAAAATCAATTGTCTACTGCACCTTTTTATTTTCTTTTTAATATGGACAGGGAGTCTCATTTTTTTTTATCCTATCAATTAATATTACAGTACATCCTTGGTAATACAAAATTGTACACCTTCATCAAATAAATTAGGATAAATTAAACCAATAAATTATGCAAAGTCTTCAGAACAATAGACAACAACAAAAATCCACAATTGAAATTGCCTCTAGCTAAAAAAAAAAAAAATCAAAAATTGACTTTATCGGTCCAGTTATTGTACTATATTCAAATCAAAGGGTCTTTATTACAAAAAAAGAGCTTAATAATGCTATTTACAACATATTGCTAAATAATACAAAGGCAGTGTTTTGTCACGGTATATACTATATACATATGAGAAGTGGCTGGGACAACATCGGGAGAAGCCATGACCTTTGATTCTTGTAGGTAGCACTGAGACCAACCCCAAATATATGTTTTTCTAATTCTAGTCTTGAAGTGGTAATATACAGTTTGAAAATGCTTTCCCCCCGATGTGGAGGATTAGAGTATTTTTAAAACACAGAATGAATACATTTTCACAAAAACGGGCCAGTCTGTTTTTCTTTTCTTCTCATGTTTGTGCATTTTAGAGGGTGTCAGATTTGAGAGAGGGCTCAGTTGGAAGACTCAAAGTCCAGACGCTTCCAGATCCTGTTGTATTCTTAGAAGGATAATTATAAGAAGATGCAAAGGTTAAATACCAGTTTTGATCCCAGCTCTGAATATGAACATTTTAGCTTTAGTTTTATAGATGGTTTACAACCAACAGATCTACAGAAAACAAAACTGCATTTCCTTCAACAGAACATTTAAGTGCAATGCAGTAACCGCTTACTCATATAAACCAGTTACATTCTTTTAAGGGGAGCTTTTTGAAAACAATGCTTCTTGTAATTTGCAAACACAGAGTTTGTACCAGGAGAAAACATTTGTACTATTCACACCAATGAATATTCTATAATATACATGGCAAAGAGATTTTGCTCTATCCTCACATGTACAGTGCTTTCAGGGAGTCTGTAAACCACTTTTTCTTTGATGAATTTATGATTGCTTCTGGGGGACATCCTATTTTTAAAGCCCCCAAATCTTCAGCTTTATGACTTAGTATTAACCTGTATGCGTATGTATGTGTGTGTGTGTGTGTGTGTGTGTGTGTGTGTGTGCATGCGCGCATGCGCACGAGTGTGGTTACTTACTAAGTGTTTTCATGTACATAGAAAAAAAATTTCATAAATTTACAGAAACTGCATTACCCTTGCCCTTGACATCTGATGAAAGAGACTGTTATCTTTTAAAAGTAGAGAGCAGGATTTTCAAGAATGCTTTCAACTGTCTACACAGTCACTATAGTGTTCCTAATAAATTCAACAGATGTTGTGAGAATGTAGTTATTTATTAAAATCTCATGTCTTACGTAACAACAGCCATGAGGTTAAATATTTACATTGCTTTATAAAAGTTCCCCTCTTGCTTTAGTGTTTTTGTTTTGCCTTTTTTTTTGTTGTTTTTAACATTTTTAAAAATGATATTCACCCACATCCCTAGCACAGCAACAAAGATTCTGCAAACATAAAACACTTGAATTAAATAATACTCGGAGGCACAAAGCAAACTTCAGGAATATGTGGGTGAACACTTCCTTAAATAATTACTACATTCTACCATCTTCCACGTTGTTTTACCATTTAATGTGAAACGTCCTCATTAAACAGCCAGAGATACAGTAAGAATTAAATGTTTTGTTGTTGCAAATAGAACATTCTTTTCACAAAACATAACAAATGTCTAAAATAGGTCCTTAAATCTAGATAGGAAAAGGTAAGCTTTCCACTTCACACGCATATATATATGTGTATTTTTACATGCGTGTATATGTGTGTATGTGTCTTCATGTTCACACACCTGCACACACATATACAGCACATGGTAAGAAATATTGCTTCTATACTACTTTTCATTAGGCTAAGAAAACACAAGATTTGCACCACCGTTACAAAAAATTGGCTTCTACAAGAATTTTCAAAACTCGAATGCTGCTCAAACAATTGAAGAAAAAATAATTTGCGGTATCAAACTGTTCTAAAAATTCTCTTCTTCAAAAACGTATTCTCCCGCTTTGTTTTAAAAAGACACAAAATATGCATAGCTATCAACGTTATGTCAAACAGCCAGAAAAAAAATCTAGTGTTTATTGCAGCTGTAGTAATTGGAAATAAAGTCAAAAAGATGAAATCGAAAGCCACAGAAGGCACAAGAACAATTGTACTTGTGGGAAAAAACTGGTATTTTGAAGGATTTTTAAAAATCCCCCCGCTGGTGCATTTTAGGTCTAGGCACAGACTATCACCTCAAGTGTATATGCAAAAATAATTTAGGGTTAGCAGAAAATAAGTGGTAATGTGGTATTTCAACATGCACTTTAGACTTCTTTTTTCCTATGTAAACTGTCCCTCCCACCTTCATAGAAAGTTAACTTTCTCCCAAGTAGCCAATTTTCACTTGGTGAGAGTTGAGCTGAGATTTGAAAGATGGTGATTAAAAAACAAAACAAAACAAAACAAAACCCAACCAAACCCAGAATTTTTAAGTAGGAGTTTTGAGAGACAGGCTTTTGTCACTTTCCAATGCACTGGGAGGCACAAGATTTTGTGATCGTAAAAGGGGAAAAACCACCTAAAAGCAAAAGTGATCGAACAAAGAGGTGAGTTTATCCTCATGCAATTTCTACTCTGAAATCATTTCTATGCCTCAGTGAACCTTGAGCGGATATTATCATAGATAAGCACATCAACATTGGTTGTGAACACACACTTTTGCTGAATTTGTCTACTTAAATTAGAAAGGCAGGGGAAAATAATACTAAAGATCCAAATGAGCCTGGAATCATTACTGAATTTGCCCCAGATCAGAAGATACTAGCAGTCTGTCTACATAGGTGAACACACTACGGTTTTGCCTTCTACCTTGCAAATGGCAACACGATGTTGATATGAATTACATGGAACAGCAAAGACCCAGTGGTATAATGACGTGAACAATGAATTCCTACTCTTTGACGTGAAGCAAGGCAAAAGAGTGTGACCACAAGTTGAGATTGCTTCCCTACTTTGTGCTGATTGGATTTTTTTTTTTTTTTTTTGGTTTGCATTTTTTCCAATGTAATGATTATCCGAACTTTTTTTTTTCCGCAAGCAAGCCGGAACAAGAACAAACTGGATCTGCTGGCCCTGTGTGTGCTACATAGGGGAGCACAAGCTGGACGATGCATTTGGTTGGGGGTGCAGAGAGAAGCCGGTGGTGTTCCAGCCTGCGTCGCTGCACTCTGTCCACACTGCGAGAGCCCGTTAGCCTCCTGAATGATGCAGGGCATCATAGGACTGTGCCATTTAATTTAAAGTCAGCAGGTTTTAAGGCTTTGTGCTGACAATAATTGCCTCCATACATTCCTGTCCATCAGCAGAATTTATAAATGATGGTAAATTACAGCGATTGGGTCAGCTAGTTAGTCACATGGGTCAATCTGCATTCTCCAGAGTCAAATGTAACTTTTATGAAAATTAAGGGAAAACGGTATTTGTGTTTGGTATAATCTAAATACCAGGTTTGTTCCTGTGTCATTTTAAGTGTAGATCAAATGACCTAAGGGGAGGGAGGGGGGTCTGGAAAAGCCTATTAGGATGAACAAGGAATTCTTACTGCATCTGCACACAAAACCCATCTGAGAAAACAAGCGTGAATGCCGTATGAATTTTTAAAAGCAAGTATGGGACACTGTACGCTTTGGAAAAACTGGAAAAAGAGAAAATAAGGAAGAAGAGGAGAACCATTGAAGAAAGCATAAAATAGCAGCCAGCTTTCTTATGTGTGCTGGAACTGTGTCTTTTGGGTTAACCCCAACCTCTTCTATGCTGCCCGTACATTGTTTACACGTTTTGGTCAGTACTAGCTTCTGAATTCGAAGAGACTTTATCAGTTGCTTTAAAATGCTGTACCTAAAATGAAGAAACACTTAATTAGACTGTCACCACTTCGAATATCCATCAGGGTAGTGTGGGATCGTATACGAAAAGAGGGCATCCTTACACTGCTCCTCTTCAGAGGTGAAGATCAAGTCAGCTAACTGCTGTCAACAAGCGTCTAATGTAGGCAGGAATTTTATGGTCAACTTGGGATGTCCTTTATTCCTTACTAGAGAAAGGTATTCAGAAAATAGTGGGTTTTTTTTTTTTTGAAAAAAAAAGTGTTAAATATTAAACAGACATAATAACTCGTTGAAGCATATAAACAGAGTTGAGCAAAGAGTACATTTGAAACGTATGTGCCTTTTAATACCCGAAGTGAGATAATAGAAAATGATGTGAAAGGGGTTTTTCTCTACGAAAAATGATCTATACTCACTTATTACGAAGAACCGATTGTAAAATCTAGAGAGGTAATTTGAAGAGCGGGTACGAATTTTCCAGCCTCATCTCGAAAGAGTCAGTTTTGTGTAGAGTTGCTTTGCCTCCGTAAGAAACGGGTACACTCGTTTGGGCTACTTGCCGTTTCTCTTACGGAAAGGCTTGACAGGGACTATTTTTCTTTTTGGAATTTGGCCTTTTGGGGTAACTTTTGAAAAGTGAGCTGTCCATCTGCCACTGGCATTATTTTTAAACACGGAACACAAAGCGACTTAACGGAGTTCAAACCAAACAAAATATTTAAGTTTACGTAGTGGTTTCATTGAGTTTTCTGGCCTTCTTAGCAGTAAAAACAAGAGACACGTCGCCGTCTGTGGAACGGCGCCGTGTCCCGGGTCTCCCTCTGCCAACTGCCATTTGCGATAAACCATCGATCAAGCAGAAGCATCTTTAAAATGCCTTTCCTTGCGAATAGAGATTTTCCACACGTCAACATTCTTTTTCCCTGAAAATTAACCCTATTTTAAAGTCTCCAAATGTTAAGGGCCTCGGGCAAAAGTAAACTAAAGACCGAAGGAAAATAACCATCCCCTTGCAATGGAAAACAAGAGAAAAGGAGCGAAAGATGATGAGGAGGAGCTACCAGCTGATTTCAAAACATATCCATGCCTCCCATACACATCCATAGGAAATCAAAATCTAGACACGTACAACTTGGACATCCAAAGGGGACTGCTACTATTCATACATTCGAAAAGAGTTGTTGAAATTTCTACTCATGAAGCAGCTCTTGTAGGCAGTTCGGGGATTTGAAAATCTCAGGGACTTCACTATCCAGCTTGCAGATGACCTTGTATATGGCCTTCTTCCAGGAAGGATCAACATCTTTGCCTGCGATAATGGCATTGAAAAACTCTCGTAATGTGATCTGCGCAACTTCCAGGAATCTCTCTGGAACCTGCTGATACAAGGAGGCAATGGCATTAATAAAGTTTTCAGTTTCAAGTCTCCGGTTCTTCAAAGGAAATTGAGCTAAGTTCTCTCTTTCAGAAAGGGGCTTACGTGGCACCTGAATTTGCTAAAAATGGCCGGCCTCTATTCTCTTCTGTGAAGTCGTTATATATAGTAGCATTGTAATGTGGGGTGGACAGCTTTGTGAAGTTTTAGAAAGGGACTTGTGCAAGGGATGCATGCAGACATACTGAAAAACCAGGATTCCCTTCTGAATATTCGGGTGAGAAAAGGGGACACACTATTGGGATTCCCCACTTCATTAAACAGGTGTATTCCAGGTGCAAGTCTCCAGCTGATCTTTCAGAATTTGAATCCTATTTCCTTTTGATTTCCACTGTGAAAACAAAGTGTGTTCTCAAAAGTAGAATAAGAGATCATTGGCTTTTGAAATCAATGAAACCCCCTGTAAATGAAGAAAACCTAAAGTCTGTTTCCTGCTCATAGCAGCAGAGGATTGTTGATCCAAATGCTAAATTGTATATGAGAGTAGTATGCACCATAAAGTGCTCTACATACAGACAGGGATAAGATAATGACATTAACACTGAGTCCCAAAATACAAAATCTGTACTGAGTCCTAAAATTCTACATTGGAAATTATTTTACTCTGAGATTAGAATTGCTCCATGAGAGTGATTCATGCAGCTGATAGCAATAACGAAAACTAACACTTCTGGAGTGCTTATTATGTGTCAGGCGCTCTGTTATGTACAGACTGTGAATCATGCCATGCAATTCTCCCAACATCTCTATAAGGTGTCATTGTCCCCTTTCTACTGTGGAGAAAACTGAGGCTCAGAGAGATCAAGGGACTTTTTCCAAGTCCTTACATTCTAAGACAAATATCCTCCAAATATTCTTTTTATTTTTTAATTATTTTTATGTTTTAAAAGATTTTATTTATTTATTTATTTTAGAGAGACTGAGAGAGAAAGACAGAGCGAGAGCACAGCATGAGTGGGGATGGGGGGTGGGGGATGGGAAGGAGCAGCAGTTGGAGAGGGACATGCAGACTCCATGCTGAGCGCAGAGCCTGACACAGGGCTTGATCTCACGCCCCTGAGATCACTACCTGAGCTGAAATCAAGAGTCAGACGCTAAACCAACTAAGCCACCCAGGCGCCCCTCCAAATATTCTCTTTAGAACCCCTAATTGTTTATCCTTTCCTTCCACAACAGTTAATATGTGCGTGTGTTCTTAATTGTTTACTTAATAGTCCAACGTCTTGTCCAGGGAAAGGGGTCGCTGTTGATGTACTTACTTAGTATTCTTTGTCAGTTACTCAAGGTGAAGCATGGCTTCTGTTCCGCACACCAAGATAAAGGATTTGCAGAGCCATTCCACAAACTCTTAATTTTCCAAGTACACATGGACCCTCAGTAGATTTCTTTTAGTGGGGTACTTCTGCATTAGTAATGTTTTATTTTTATAGTAAGTGCAGACATATGAGGAAGTAAATGCACTGTAGTTGTATGTGTAGATAGATCTGTCTACACATACAGAAGAGGTGAAAGATTTTCATCTCAGTTCACATATGCCACTTTACCAAGTAAAAGGGAGGTATTGTCATGTCGAATAGATTTGATCTCTTTCTCCCACTCTTTCTCAATTTGTGCAATGGACCATTTTATAATGACAGTAACTATTAAGGAAAACTAAAATGATCACCAGGCATCCCTGTTTTATACATTTAAAATTGGACAAAGAGGTTCACTCCTTCCAATGGTAAGTCGCTTGTCTTTTGTAAAGAAAATTAGTAATTCCCCAGATAAAGAAAGGACCCCATTTGGGGCCTATCAGAGTCTAGAAAAAGAGAAAATTTTGAGGAGCCCCTTCCAAAGACATACACCCCAGCCAGTCTCTCAGGGCATAGCTCTCCAAAATCATCCAAACACCCCTTGTCCCCCATGGATGTGCAAACCCATACACCCCAAAGGCCATTCCCTGATGAGAATTCATCTGGATTTTCTAAGGAACGTTGGTGATTTCTCCCTAAAATTCCTGCAGATACGTGAGTATTTGTGCGATAGGAGGAGCCTGGAGGAGAGATTAGCTCTCTCACTCACCTCACACCAAATAAAAAGTCATTAAGCAGCCTTTTTGAGTTCTCTCCCTTCTTCCCTCAAAGATAACCCTTCACGTTTTATCAGATGGGCATTACTGAGAGAGGGAATCTGGCTGGAGAACAGCGAGGCGGTACAACTATGGGCTCTAACTACTTGGTTTGGGAGCTGTCAGCCAAATGCTACAGAAACATAATCATAGGCATTTATTGAAATAAACATTTCAAGAAGTGTGGTTTTCCCGGCCATTGGCAACAGAGGCTTGACAAAGATCTATGTTTCTTGAACACTTAGGGACGCAGCAGGGCACGCAGGAGGGCATGGCAGAGAGCTGTGCGGGACACAGGGTATGGTGGCTGCTCCAGAGGAAGTCAGAGAGGACTGGGTGCTCCTCCACACCAAGGGCCCCACGGGAGGTCTGGAGTACCAGGGGCCAAGGGAGCAGAGATCATATTGGTTGAGATCATCAGAGGAGAGATGCATCTAGAACAGCATCAGCAATAGAGGAGGGAGGAAGGGTAGTTCTAGGGTGTGCCTGAGGGCAAATCAAAGTAACTTCTCTTGGGGGGGTGTGTGTGTGTGTGTAGCTCCCACCCTATTATTATCTGCCATTCTTGTTAATGGTTTTTAGTGGGTTTTACCTCATTTTAAACGTTCATTTCTTTTGGCGGTAATCTTGGGCTATCCTTCACCATCTTTTGTATTTGTGTTTTGTGTTGTTTAATTTTTCACCTACTTCTATCTAGTTGTAATGAATTTGCCCCAAGATGTCTTTAGATAAAGAGCCACAGTTTCTGTTCTGTGTATCCCCCACAATGCTTAACAAAGTTTTTTTTGCATAGGCTTTCATAATGAGAGCTTGCCTTCTGCTTTACTCCATACTGCTCTGGAGTCACACTTACCTTCTCCCTCGATACTTAAAAAAAAAAAAATTAAATAATGCTAAAAAAAGATAGCATTTAAAGAGTTGGAACAGACCTCAAAAGTCATTTTATAGATGAAGAAACTATGAGACTCTATAAGATGAATAAATTATGAGAACAAGAGACTCATGTGAAATAACATGTCCAGGTGTCTTATCATTAAACCATGCTCTCTCTCTTTTAATGCATTTTCAGTAATTTCTATTTATATGGGGCATCAAAACCTTGACAAGCTGTGGATCTGTGACTGAGAAAAACCACAGAAGAGCTAGTAACTTCAAAATAAATGTGAATGGTACAAAGGATTCCCAGGAGGAAACTTAGGATATTGGTTTATGTTTGAGAAGGGATAAATTCTTTTTGAACAAATGAAATGGTTTGCTAATTTAGGGCTTACTTTGAGGCAAAACTCATACAACAGACTGGGCTGGTTTAAAGCAATTGATCATGAGATCCTCTAATGCTTGAGCAATTAATCTTTTTTGGTGGCTCCAGAGCGGTAAACTGATGAGTAGCAACTGATCTTTTGAGAGAGTGCCAAAGAATTCCATCCACAGGTAGAAATATCACCGATGAGAAAAGAGACCCTTACCCCTTTCTGCTTTAAAACTTTCCCCAACTGCATTTAACAGAGTAAAAGGGGGTCCTTTCTGTTTTTGGGGGGGCTGTCTTAGAATTTGGGTTTACAAGAATGATGTTGCCCATATTTTTCTGTACCTCTTCACACCTAATGGATTTCCAATCACTAATAAACATCTGCAGAAAATCCCTTAGTGACAAGTAATCCCTTATCTAGGTTTCTTTTAATAGAACCCAACAATCTGCAGAATGAACCCCAGAGTATCTCCTCAGCATCAGGTGGCAACAGTCAATCAAGTCCCTGGAATGCAAGACAATGCAGGCTGCTGGGAGGGGGGGAGGGAAGGCCATGCCTTTGGACATGCCACAGGGAAAAAACAAAAGGCTTCCAAAGTCTCTGGCTGGAACTCTGAAGCTATTGTGGGAGCTGCTGTGCTGAGTGTTCTTCAGGAGAGGAGAATGGAAACTTTGCTTGATAAAAAGGCATCCCAATATAGGAACCTCACCCCAAATGGTCTTGCCTCCCCTTGCCTTGATATTTGGAGGAGAATATAATTGCGACGAGGTACTTGAATGCACTCATGAATTTGAAGGGGGCTGGCTATCAGCATCTACCAATTTCATCACAATCGTTCCTACTTGAGTCTCCTCAGAGCAAGCAAGGGCCTTATGGGCTTTGATGAAATGGGGAAATCGGGAGGATGTTTTCCAGTCTGCTCCAGCTGTGGCTGTGTTGTGCGAGTGCGCACGCACACACGAATACACGTGCACACACGCACACGTACAGTGTGTTGGGTGGGGGGCTGTTTTGCTGTTCTTTTTTTTTTTCCCCTCAGAATGAGTGGCAAAGACACATTTTTCCCCTGTCTTCCTCCTCCTCTTCCCAGTTGCTTTACCTTCAAGGATGATTTGTTTTATTAAATTGACTGTCCCTAGCCTCTGCAGTACATAATAAAAGCCTGACGTAGCAGGCTGCCTGCCTTCTGTGTCCTGCAGACACTCATCATAAGTGTCAGGACATACCAAGGTTAGTGGTCACTGGAAGTGTGCTCGCTGGCCCAAACCTTGCCAAACGCTCTTGGCAGCTGAATGAATGTCACAGAGAATAGAAGGGGAATTACAAAGGTTAAAAAGAAGACAGCCTCTCCTATTTTCTGGAGACAGAGAAGCTGATTTTTCACACCTCTGAAATATCCACAAGCTCATCCCTTGGCCTTTTGCAGGAGACCTAAACCTGGCTGGCCCCTTGCACAGTTTCCCATGGATACCTCTCCATCCTCAATCCCCCTTAAAAATTTTGTCCACTGGCCTAATTTTATCAGTGAAATGATCTTTGCTGAAATGGAGAGAAAACAAACCAGGCATAATGCTCTCTTGCCCCAGCCCCTCCCCAATAACCAAAGGCTCAAATGGCTTATCGAGGTTATCAATAGATTACAATCTTATCAAGGGAGATCATCTATTCAGTTCATCTTTTAAACTATTTTTTTTTTCAAACTTACTTTGAAGGAGAAATGTAAAAGGGAACCTGGGTATGGGCAGGAGTATTTAACGGATGGAAAAGTAACATCGCGGCTAGTATTTTGGTGAATTAGTTTGTGTGTGGGTTTTGTTTCTTCTTCCTTCTCCACTTTTTTTTTTTTAATACTATAAAAGGGCAATAAAATGCTGACTGTAAGAAGACAATGTCAAGGAGAAAAGGGTACTGGTATTTTGGATACTCTTCACTGCTCGCCTTGGAGAGAGAGTTATTCTTGTCACAAACCCTTTTGTCTGCATCTGCTGACTGCTTGCCTGTAGCCAGCAGCATACTTTAACTGTTTTGTCACCTCCTAACATCACATGCATCAGCTGTTGGGCTTTTGTTACGGGTATTGTAGAACTAATCCACTGTGGCTGTTCTACTGTGCAGTAAATAAAACAGAAACGGGCTTCTCAGACAATTCTGCATGAATATTTCAGATG